GTGGGGGTGGGGGTGGGGGGGCTCCTGCCTGCTGCCAGGGGCCTGTGTGCCTTGAGCTTCCAGCTGGTGCTGAGGAAAGGCGCCCTGGGCACTCTTACCAGCTCCCCCCAGAAGGAAAGGGAGTGGTGGGGCTCTGAAAGCTGTCAGCAGTCAAAAGTCAAGAATGGGATTTTGAGTTTTTTTACAGGCCAGGAAGGAGCAACACCTCCAGTCTGTTTCCAGGGCCTATGGGGACCCTCCCTAACACCACTAGCTCCGGGAGACCTTCAGTGCTGATCTGGGACTAAAGCGACGCCAACACTCTGTTAACGTAAAAAACCATTGAAAGCTTTAAAGAATTTTTGTGAGTTTATTTGAGCCAAACTGTTGACATATGCCGGGAAACAGAACCTCAAGGAATTGAGATAATGCTCCGGAGAATGGCGGGGTTACATTTGTATTTATACATTGCAATCAAAGGAGGGACATAGGTGGGTTACATGAAATTCACTGGTGATAGATTAAGGAGGAGGGATAAAGCAAAGCAGGGGAAACCCCTGGGATTGGATAAAAAGTAAAATGATGGACACATACTTAGGTGGGTGCAGGAACAATTAACATGATAATGAAGGAATTTGTGGTATCTGTCCTGGCGCCCAGCACATTTGGTTGTGCCCCAAGGGGGTCCAGATAAAGGGAAGTTACAAGTTACCCAGACACTTCAAGGGTATGTTATCATAGATGCAAAAAGACAGATAGGCTCAGTTAAGGTAAAGGTTGACCTTGTCAGTGAAGATACCGGCCTAGGACGTAGCTGCCTACCATAACTGCTTTTAAAGTTTAATTTCAGACCATCCTTTGTGGTTATTTTAGGTCTCTGAGTTTGCAAGGCTGCCATGCAGGCCTCCCCTGAGCTTGTCAGGTCAGCATGTGGCCCCTCTCGTCCACAACTCTCAGATGAGTGGACCAGGAACTTTCATTCTTTTAAGAACTAGGGAAGCCTATTAAAACAGTTTCTGAGTCCACAGGCCTCCTGGGCTGCAGTGTGTGTGTGTGTGTGTGTGTGTGTGTGTGTCTTCAACTGGCTTTAAAGTGTTAAAGCCAAGAACCAGGGTCTCTTAATAAGAACTGGCAGCTCCAACGTTGACCATCTCATAGCTACTCACCCAGCACATGTCACGTACGGCAGCAGGAGGAACAAAACCCAGAAGACATGCCAGAATGTGAACTCACATGTGCGTCATCCTTCCGGGTGGTCTTGATGCCACACAGAATCCAGAAATGCTAGCACTGCCCCCTTGTTCTTGAGACCAGCTCTCCTGTGGGCAAGGCTTTCGATCCAGGTAAAAACGAATCCTGTTCCCTTAGGGTCACCGTTTTTCCATTTAAGTGGTATCCATCAGGAGACAAGGTCTCGGGGTTCAGTCAGGCCAGTTCAATTCCCAGATGCGTGATCTTTGGTTGTTTTCTTTCTATATGAGCCTCGGTTCCTTCGTCTGCAGAATGGGGACACTAAGGCCACATAGAACGTTATAAAATGAGGGGTGTCATATATGTGAAGGACCTGCAGAGAGTAGGCATCTAATACTATATTTTTTTACTAGGTTGTGTGTTCCTACAGAACAAGAATTGATAGGATTTGCTGTATCCCCAGGGTCAGCACAAAAGAAGATATATAGTAGGTGCTCAATACTCCTTCATTGGATTGGAGTAGTAAAGTGGTAACTGGTATACCCATCCTTCTGATCCCACCTGCTAAGGGCAGGGGAGAGAAAGGAAATAAATAGAACGCTGAACACTTACTATGAACACTTTCCTGTCTCACAACTCCAAGTAAGTACTGACGGTCTCATTTTGACAGCTGGGGAAAAGCAAGGCTCCACAAGGTGAAATAATCCTCCAAAGGTTAAACAGCTGGTGAGTGACAGAGCCAGGCTTTCCCTCAAAAGCCCACGATCGTTCGAGGCCAGCAGAACACAAGTGCCGTGGGAGGCAGCGCCTCAGGAATGTTGCGCTGGTATTTTCTTCAAACGCTCAGCCCTCCTCAACAGAACCCTTCCCAGATGTTTGCAGGGCCTGGCAGGTCTTCAGTCAAAGAGCAAGGGATGGTCCCACACCTGCACGGGAACGGAACTGTGTAGTGACCTCTCTGGATTCTGCCTTTTACTCCGTCCAAGGGCCAGCTGGCAGAACCCCGGCTCAGCTGCACTGAGGCCTCCCAGCAGTAGTCACCGGGAGCCACTGCTTCCCCACCCAAGGCCTAGGCCGCGGAGGGTGCTGTGGTTGAATTGTGTCTCCCAGAAAGAAATGTTAAGTCCTAACCCCCAGCACCTGTGAATGTGACCTTCTTTGGAAACAGGGTCTTTGCTGATGTCATCAAGTTAAGAGGAGGTGACATTGAGTGAGGGTAGGCCCTTAATCCAGCGGTTCTCAACCTGTGGGTCGCGACCCCTTTGGCGGTTGAACGACCCTTTCACAGGGGTCGCCTAAGACCATCCTGCATATCAGATATTTACAATATGATTCATAACAGTAGCAACATTACAGTTATGAAGTAGCAACGAAAATAATTTTATGGTTGGGTCACAACATGAGGAACTGTATTTAAAGGGCCAGAAGGTTGAGAACCACTGCCTTAATCCAAGGTGACCTGTGTCCTCATAAACGGAGGGAAATTCGGGCACAGACACCAACGCGGTGAGAGGCCCCGTGAAGACAGAGCAGGGATGAGAGTGATCCAGCTGCCAGCCGAGGAATGCCAGCTGGCCAGCTGCTGCCAGAAGCGACCCCGCCTCAGAGACACCCTGTTCCCACCGACACCTTCATTTCAGACTTCTCGCTCCAGAGCTGTGAGGGAGTACATTTCTGATGTTTTAAACCCAGTTTCTACTACTTTGTCCAGGCAGCCCTGGGAAACGAACACAGAGGGCTCTTCTGGGCAGCCTCCATGTTCTGGAACCCAGTGCCCCAGCCATCAGCTGCGGTGGCCCACACATCCCCTCAGCCAGGGCACCCTGCTCCCCAGCCCTTCAGCCATTCCCATGAGACAAGACAGACTTCAGCTCCTGGACACACATCTCCCTGATGCTTTTTATTCAACTCTTAGCTCAAACACGCTTCGTGAATTGAGAAATAAAATGTTCTGTGAACATAGGCACCACGATGCTGGCTACTGTTTACGCACGTTCCCAGGGGGGTGGAGGGTCTAGCACGTCTGCTCCCTTCCAGGCCTGGGGCACAGAAGCACTGAGACTGTGTGTGGTGCCCAGGGAAGGGGTAGAGTAGGGAAATGACAAGAACAGAGGTTTTAGACTCAAACAGTTCAAATTCCAGCTCTGCTTCCTACCAGCTGTGTGGCGTTATAAAGTCTCAAAGCCTTGGCCTCCTCATCTACCATTTGAGAAAAAGAACATCCACACCATAGGGTTCTTCTGAGGATTAAATGAGATAATGCACACGAAGTGACTGACACATAGAGAGGAACCAATAATAAGCATTGCTATTAACTTCATCATTGTTGTTGCCATCATTCATCGTTATTATGAACTTCCCTGAAATGGGATAGTCCACACCATGAACTTCAGTACAAATGAGGGGGAAGTACCTAGACAGAGTCAGGAGTGAGGGGAAGGCAATTCATTGAGTTGTCTGCCCAGCTCATACTTCAGTATTTTCTAAGAACAGCCTCTCCCCTCATAGTTGGTGCTCCATAAATGGCAGGTGGTATGATTACTTTATTATTTCTGTTTATAAGGTCATATGCCTGAACCAGATCAGTGCCATTAACAGCTCCTCTGCCCCAGCCAGGGTCAAAGTCCCAGGTACCTGTGGTAAACTGGATACAGCTCCCAATCTTCACTCCCCCGTCATAGGGTTGTATATCTGCTCCCTTTCTATGTGCGGTGCACTTCCTCCCACGGTGGGCAGAGAGGCTTTCTGTACGACTTGTTGTGGTCCCTGGGGTGTCGGCAGACGTGACATCGACAGGAGGTCTGCCTTATTCTCTTGCATTTCTGATAATATCTATTGAACATTATGTATAGGCCGGGCACTACTCTTCGTGGTCTTATTGAACTGTCACAACTCTGTATAAGGCTGGTTCTATTTTCCTGCCCGTTTTCACAGAGAAGAAAGCTGAGGCTCAGAGAGATTAAGCAGCTCGCCCGAAGTTACACCTGCAGCCAGGGCTGAGCCAGGCAGTCTGGCGTGCATGGCCACTGCATCACCTGGAAAAGGTCAGGAGAAATTTCTCTGTCCAAAGACATAAAACCCCCCCACAAATCTTCTCTCATTTTTTTTAAATAGCAACAAAGTGCCATGCACCATGCCATGTGCTTTATATACCTCGTTCCTCATGCTTACAATTGCCTCTAGGCTTTTAAGGATGAGGAAACGGAAATTCAGAAAACCTAAGGGGCTCGCCCAAGTCACACGGCTAGAAAGGAGAACTAGAATTTGATCCCAGATCTTGAATAGCTGAGCCTAAAACTTTTACTCTTCCCATCTTCTCACTATACTGCACTGCCTTCTCTCTCTACGTATTACTAATTATGGGGGAGGGGGGGTACACGCCTCTGTTTCTCTAGATCTAAAATGAAATAATCAGCCTAGAATCTAGAGTCAAGAATTTAGACCCTCCTCCCACATTGGAGTGGCGTGCTGACCGTAGCAATCACGTCTAGTCTTGATGGAGTTCGTGTTAACCAAACATTTGTACAATGTTTTTCAAGTAAATACATGGGGGACTTTCTGGGGAGTGTGATGAAGGGAACATTTTACAAGTCTTAGAGCAGAAGGTTGAGGATCAGTGAAGATTAGATACTGCAGTAAAAAGGCATTCAGGGCTCTGGATGGTGTAGCTAAGTGGTTAGACTGTTGGCCTGAGCACTGAAAGGGTCATGGGTTTGATTCCTGGTCAGGGGCATGTACCGTGGTTAGACTGTCGGCCTGAGCAGTGAAGGGTCATGGGTTTGACTCCTGGTCAGGGGCATGTACCTGGGTTACAGGTTTGGTTTGATTGCCTGGCAGGTCAGGGCGCATGTGGGAGGCAATCAATTGAAGTGTCTCTCTCACATCAATGTTCTCTCTCTCTCTCTCTCTCTCTCTCTCTCTCCTCCCTCGATCACTCCCTTCCACTCTCTCTAAAATCACTGGGGAAAAAATATCCTCTTGTGAGGATTCACACAAAAAAAGAAACATCCTGGGTGAAGCATGTTGCGGGGATGGGATTGTCTGGTCTGACTGACTGTGGGTGGGTGTTGGGGAGCCAAGGTGTCTTGGCCACGGGAAGGGTCGCTTTGTCTAAGCCAGTGGTCCAGGCACCAGCCTCTGGCATCCGGTGACTTTACAGAATGGACGGCCAGCGCCCAGGAATTGGATAGTGGTGCCTGAGTTCCTTTCCAACCACAGTAAAATGAAGCCATTTATTCTACAAATATTTACCAGATAAGCCAGGCGTCTGAGACAATAGCAGTTAGAACCTGCGCATTTATTCCTGGCAGTAACTTGCCCTTGGCAGCTGCAGCCTGATTATGTGGAAGGACTGTGTGGGCCACGTACCTGGCTGAGCACTTCAGTAAATGGGCCCTCCCTGCCCCTTGGGTGCTGTCAGTCCTGGAGAACAAATCTTTCTTGCCCAAGGATTTTGTATACAATATGTGAAAACTATCAGCTAAACCAAACCCCAGGCTGCAGCTAAGCCTTCTCCCAGAATTTAGGAGCCAAAGAATAGCCCTCTACCTAACAGAGCCCCAGGATCTGCTATTAAGAAAAATAAATACCACGTAAACTGTGTTGCTCTTGGAAGAAAGCAGAGGAAAACAAAAACAACATTCTTACTTGCCTGTATATACATAAAGGAGCTCTGGAAGGGCGCATGAGCAACTAGTGGCTGGGTATCTCTGGAAGAGGCGGGTGGGTAGGAATTAGGTAAATGGGGTGGGGGTGGGAGAAGACTTTATTGCATACTTTACATTTCTTATTATTAAAATTATTATACAATAAAACGGACCCTTTTTGAGACCTTTTGCAAAGCTTTATAAATTGTAATATGTGTCTAGATGTATATAATGCCACTATAATCAGGATACCAAACAATTCCATTCTCCCCCAAAACTGTCTATGCTGTCCCTTTAATGTCACTGCTGCCTACTACCTTTAACCCTTGGCAATGACTCATCTATTCTCTATCCTAATAATTTTGTCTCTTTAAGAATGTTGTAATAATGGAATTGTGTGGTATGTAACCTTTTGTGGCTACTTCCCCACCCCTCCTCCCATCCCCTACCCCACTGCCCCACTGAACGTATCTTTGGAATTCATCCAAACTGTTGCATGGATCAGAAGTCCATTCCTTGTTATTTCTGAGTACTAGTAAAACGGAATTTTTGGACTGGAACCCAGATTCTTTGTCCGCTGGAGTCAAAGAATGAATCCACGGACAGAAGATGGTGTAGCAAAGGTGGAAATTTATTAAAGGACAAGTACAGACTCCCACTTGGGGAGGGGGAAAGGGTCCCACTGAGTTCCTTTTCCCTATGGCTTATAAAGGCTGCAGATCTTGGTGCCTTGATATCCCCTCTGATTGGTCACTATTCCCTTAGACTGGTTACTATAGTAACTCCTGGGCTCAAAGGTCGAACCTCACTGGGACATGTGAGGCTCTCCCCCACTCCTTCCTTATTGTTTTCCTATTCCCTTTGGGCGTTCCTTTTCTCCTTCTGGATGAAGGGCTTCCTTCTCTTTATTTTGTAAATATAGACCTTTTGCTGTTCCCAGCTCTCTCATTCTATGGAAATGTACCTGTTGCAGCTTTTCAGCTCCCCTATTCTATGGAAATATACCTTCTGCTGCTCTGCAGCCCTGTGCTTCTTCTGTGGTCCTCTTAATTTCTAAGATTTCCTAAGACCTGTCTTTTTCACCCCCCAAAATTCCTGTTTCACTAGCCCATGGATAGAGGCAATCCAGATCCCACCCCCACCCCTCATTCACCCACTGAAGGACATTTGGCTTGTTTCCAGGTTGGGACCATTTTAAATAGACCTGTTAGCAATATTCACGTACGGGTTTTTGTGTGGACATACATTTTCATTTCTCTAGGGTAGATATGCAGGTGTGG